ATGTGTAACAAATACTTGTCAGTTGTGCTGAACACATTCCCCTGGCTTATGCAAGCCAATACTACTTTTTACACACATTTTCTTCAGTAGTGCATACTAAGAACTGGAATACTCATTTTAAAGAACAATCTAAATGCCTAATTAAAGAAAATGAGGACAACACAGTTAACAGAGGGAAACTGTTACTGAATTTCTTCCAAGACCATTTGAAAATAAAAGGTAAGTGGGCTAAAGATCATTATAGTCGCTTTTTAAAATTCTAAATTTACATGGTCCTTTGTAAATTGGTAATTAATATTTTCATTATTTTATAACAAAGAATAACATTAATAAAGTTCTATAGAATATTTTCATTTTACAGAAAATTAAGGAATTTGTATATAAGCAGAATTCAGTGATTAGGAAAGATTTTGTAATAGAGCCAGAAATTAGGGTTAGATATGATTTGCAAAAACAGAGGGAAAACCTTTATGGCTAGGAGATCAATATACTTTCCAGTATCATATCACAGTCTTACCAATATCACAGTAAAGTATGATAGTGAGAACTAAAGCAGTGTATACACTCAAAGGAAGGAAAAAGGGGGGGGGATAGAATTTAAAAAGAAATCTTTGTTCAATGATGGAAACCATTAATGCCCAGCACAGGAAAGAAATGGAATCCACAAAACAGATTCAAACAGATATCCAGGAGATTGAAAACTCTCACTGAAAGCAGCAGAATGGGTCAATGTGAGGACAGAATATCAGGTATAGAAGACAGGGTTGTGGTTAGCAATCATGAGGAGAGATTTCTTAAAAATAGCAAGGGACCATGAGAAATCAATCCAGCAGCTGCTAGACGATTCAAAGAACAATATTAAGATTGACTAGAGTCAATGGAAAAGCAGGAGACAGTGCAAATGACATTAAAAACAAAACAAAACCAAAAACCTGTTCTCAGAAGTAACACCAGAAAACTCCCCAAACAGGGAAAAAGAATTTGATATACAGGTAAGCAAAGTATACAGAACCTCAATTAGCCATGATTAAAAAAAAAAAAAATTCTTCCCCAGAAATTCAAGACAAGGACAGAATATTAAAAACTGTTAAAGAAAAGAAACAGATCCCCTATAAAGGAAAGCCGATCAGAATCACATCAAACTTCTCAATACAAACTCAAGTCAAGGAGAGCCTGGAGTGAAATATTTAAGCCCTAAAGGAAAAAAACCCACCAACCCAGAATGATGTGTCTTGAAAAACAAATCTTAGTTCAGTAACGTGTAGAAAACCATTGTAGTTCTTTAAGCATGTGAATAGAATGAAGCAGTCATTTAAGCCACTACATACATTATAGGCCTAAAGGGACTGATTTACAACAGAATTTGATAGTACTGATGGCTTAAGTAGAGTACAGTAATTTGATAACTCATGTAATGCTGTTAAATAATTGTTAGTATTTAAATTTCAAGATTTCAAATTTAAGATTCTGAAAAAAATCTCCTATATTTCAACCTGGTACATGACAGTATGCCAAATACATATTACAAGAAAAATAGAAAATTAACAAATGGATACCATACTATTTCTACTGCAAAATGTATAAATTACATCCTTCAGGTAAATAATATCCAACTCCACTGAAAAATTGTTTAATTCCGTATTAGTAACAAGTAATACTTTCTCCCATACAAAATAATGATAATGCAATTTCTTTTAATTTGCTGCATAGTTCGGTTGGAAAGAATTGTTTCATTGTCTCCCTTTAAAAAAACAAGTAGAAAGAACCTAGCAAGTGTCAAGTTTTTTCATTTTAAGAGATGATGTTAGGGTGTGAAAAATATTTTAGCCAAAACTGACAGAGCAAAATTTTTCTTAAGCTGTAGGCCAAGTAATGTAACTGGGGAAAATGAGGTATGGGTGAAGGGGAACAGAAACTTCATTGAGATGAATCTGACAGCTGGAATCTCGCTTTTAGGAGTCAACAGGTCTGTGAATCTTGTTTACAAGAAGAAAGCGAGCATTTAAGAAGGATGAGCCATTCATCCTGAACACATCCTACATACCACTTCAGGTATGGATGCCACAAATATGTAAAAGTACCAAAAGCTATTAAATTCACCTAATGATTTTTTTGTTGCAGTTTTTATGCTTTGAAAATGACTTTCACAATATTCACACCTCGTTTTTATAAAATAAAGGATAGTGGGAAGAGCACCAGACCAATTATTAGGAAACTCAGGTTCTAGCTATCATTCTATTTCAGGGCGCTGTTAAGGCCCTGCCTCAATTTTAAATGAAAACAATGAATTATTAGATGTACAGTTTTTCCAGCAAGAGTATTATACAAAATCCTCCCTGTCTTCTGCTACCTAGATGTTAAGGGCATCATATTCTATGTTAACATTAGCCTTACATAATTAGGTATGATTATTTTTCTCTTTGCCCTATAGAAAAAATAAATCTAATTTCATATTCCATCAAAACCATTAAGAATATTTAAAAGTTCTGTATGACATCTCTAAAGGAAAAAAAAAAGTAAATCTTTTGGGAACTTTACTGAAAACACCTAAAACAGCATCACACAGACAGGAAATTTTAACTAACAAATATTTTAAAAGTCTAAAACCAAGAAACCCATTGGAAATATATCCAGTTTCCATTATCCTTAGTCAAAGATGGGAGCCCATGCAATTTCCTGCATTTATTGAGATTATCTTTTCTACCCTTTTGCAGTATGTAGTTCTTGACTTTGAAAATAGAAAGGACTGATCAGGGTTATTGTTCAGAATGAAAAAAACAAAAAGAACAGCTCAAAGTGTGTGAAAATACAAAATATTTGGGAGTAATGTTAATTTCTTCCATTCATACACGTATGTTCTCCTACACTTTCTTTTCTAAATAACCTAAAGGTGACTAATATTTTACTTATGAACTCCTTGGTAGCTTCCCTCTGTACATGTAATAAAAGCAAACTTCTCCAGAGATCCTTAAAGGCCTTGCGTGAGCTAGCCTTAGCTTATTTTACCTCAGTCTCACCATCTTTCAATAACCTGAAAGCATGACAGTTTCCACTTTAGGGCTTGTACCCCTGTTTTTCTTCCTCTTTATCCCAGTCTCAAATGCTACTCTTTCAAAGAGATCTTCTGAACCCCCCAATCTAAAATATTTCTCCACAGCACCCAGTTCTTGACACAGCTTAAAACTGTGATCCATGCCATGTTTTCCACCTGTGGGCTTACTTGATTCATGTCTACTGCGTTTACTAGATTTAAGCTCTATGAGGTCAGTGACCATGTTTTCTTCGGAACTCATATGGTCAATAATCTATTAATCAAATGAAAGGGACAGAAGACCCTGCAGTTACACAATTTAAGACTCCACAAAATATAATCTGAGATAATAATCAAAATAGGGGTTTTTGTCTGTTGAGTCAAGAATTCAAAATATTAATGTAATTTATGGCTTGAATCCTTCTGAAAACTGGGGTACTTAAATTCTGTTTTTAGCTACACTTAACTGTACATTAGAAAAACCTACCTTCTAACTTAAAATCTCTAATAAGACAGTTAAATAGACTATTAAGGTGAGGATAATCATATGTACAACTAACAAATTTGCTAAATATAGTATTTTACCTGGGTAATGTCCATTAACTGCAACACAAAAATCAAATCCCAACTAATATAAACTAATAACACTATAATTTTTACATATCAAGCTATATTATGAGCATTCCTTGACAAGGCTGGAAAACCTTTTTCTATAAGGGTCATTTGGATGGTGGGGAGAAAAGAAAAGTGACACGCTTCCTGATTAATTTGGAAAGACATTTTAAGAGCTTGGTCCTCAGGCCTTGGTACATGCTAGGCAAGAGTTCTAAAGCTGAGCAACATCATAAGCATCTTCATGAATAATTTTGAAGAGCTAATGTAAATGTGGTATTGTCAAACACTAAACATTCTTGTGTATTTTAGTTTCTTTTGAGATGATGTAACAAGCTTCTTAAAAGGTAGACTAATAAAATTTACATTTGAACCATTCATTTTTAAATGAGCATTTACTTAAAAAATGAGCAATTTGTTCCTGTAACCTGAGGTGCAGCATGTTCCCAAGTGATAAAATATTTTTCATCAATGTCCTAAACACCATAAAAGCAGCAATTTTGCCTTTATAAATATTCTTTCTCGAGTAGTCAACTATGCTGTTGAAGACCTTACCAGAGAAGCTTATCCAAGGCTCTAACATTTGGGATATTCAGCTGATAAGAACCTAAATCTTCTGTTCTTTTTGACTTTCCTCACCAACATTAAGGAATATAAGTCCGTGTTAAGTTAATCGTTTTCACATTCTTCAGGGCTGGGAGGAGATAAATGTTGGCTTCAAAGTCCCTGAACAATGACCTTCCTCTCTTGCTTTTATTCTCTACAGTGTTATCATCACTAGAAGCAGAACCTCAGACTTCGACCTAGCGTACTCTTTCACTACAGCAGGGACCAAAAAAGAAGTTATACATACAGATTGATACTTTGCTAGAGTTGCATATCTCAAGAGTTGCTTCAGTTTATTTGCCACTTTACTAATTTCTTAGCAGTTCTTAAAAATCAATTTGGAGTAAAACAAAACACGAAAAAGTTTACATGAGAAAAATACAATAGTTTTTAAACAACAAAATGTTCAGCCTTCATTGGATTGTTTTAAAACACAATAATTTACTATATTATTTTTGTGTATGTGATAGAGTTGCCTGTTTTGGGGGCAATGGTGGTTTAAACACAGGTGCTAGTTTACCATAAAGTTCTTACCACAGTATTTGGCAAAATGAAAATAGCTATGAACAATTAGATGTGTTAAATGAACTTAATACATTTTTATTTAAAATGATGCCTTCTATTCAGAAATTATGTTATTCTTACTTTTCTAAGTTAAAATATCTTCTGATGGGAAATAAAATCTTTTGTAAAACAATGGCACTAAGTGCTAAGATATTTCTCTGAAGTGATTTTACTAGGCGATACTTACCAAGAATTTTCTCCTCCCATTTTTAAAATAAAACTTTTCTTAAGACATCAGGTTTTCAAACTGCTATACCAGGGCTTGAAATAAAACATAAATACATTCAAGTCACAGCTTAGTCACTTCTACTTTTGCAACTTTCTGTAAATTCTAACAGTTGATGGAAAGATTAAATGCCAAGAACGTTTAATTTTTGCACATAATAGATACAGAAAAAGATGTTCTTTAACTTGAGAGATATATATTCGATCTCTTTCTGGACCAGAAATCAATCAAATCCTCGTGGGCTTTCCATTTCTGAGAAAAAGTTTCATCCCTCGTGACTACCCCCACCCTCGCCCATTCTGGATGGTTCCATTACCAAAAGCATCTTCAGAGACTCCAACTACTCAGTTGTCTATATGTAGATCTATTTCCTATATCTTCAGCCTCTCTTTAGCAGGTTTCATCTCTTTGGTTAATAAACATGTTCAAGATTTTCCTTTTAAAAAAAAATTACATGTATATAACCCTACAGTCTCTAGCTCCTGTATCTGAGAATTCTTTAGAATCAAATTTCTTTACCTCACCTCTCTCAGGTCCAAAATAGTAATCTAATATTCATCTTCAACTCATTCATTATTTAGATCTCTGACAATGTTTTACAATTTCAAAGTGCATATAGTATTTTTCAGTTTCCAACTTTTACACGACCACATTGTCATTTCCTCCCTTCTTGCAACTAACTTGTTTTTTCTGATGGCCCTGTCAAAGGTTTTTAATACATTTGTCTTAATGTTTTTATCCCATTCAAACCCGGTCTTTAACACTTATTTACTAATAAATCCTCAGTCTAGATACAGTACTAAATCTGTTAAGATTTCAGATCTTTCCCTTAACTCTAGACCCTGGATATCAACTGTTACCTTTTTGTCTTCTTATGTAATTTATATTTATTTATCTAATCCCCTTCCTCCTCCACCTTTTCTAATCAAGTCAAGGCCTACTTCCTGTGTATCCTTTCCAATCCTCTTGGACATATCTCAACTTTTCATTGAGTGTTATAAAATCATTCTCTAATATCTCTAATATGTACTTCATACCCTTCTAATCCATACTCTATATTGCTGCCAAGTGTTGTCACTCACCTGCTAAGATATTTCAATCTTATAAGCCCTTATAAACCATCTTGAATAAGCATAAATTCTCTAGCATGCCATACATGATCTTTTCCTACCTCCTGGCTTCCTGGTCCCTAGACTTTTTTCTGAGCACTTATCTACTGGACTTGCTGTTTCTGGATAAGAGACATGTTTCTTTTTTCTCCTCTGCCTCTGCACATACTGTTCATTCTTTGTTGGTGAAATACTCAACTCACCACTCCCCTTCAAAAAAAAAATCTAACAATTGCCTGCTGTGGTGGAGCACACCTGTGTGTGACTCTAGCTAGTCAGGAGGCTGATGTAGGAGAATGGCAAACTCCACACTGACTCGGCCAACTTAGCAAACACTATCTCAAAACAAAAACAAACCTAAAAACTAAAATCCAAAATGTAAACTGTGGTGTTTCAGACACAAGCCTGTCAACACAAGTTACTAAATAATTTTATTTTCTTTGCTGATGTTCAGAGAATAATTTTACTTTTGTGGGTGGGAATGGCAGTTAACGAGTAAGAAATTAGCAGCATACTAACCTAGACACTAATCAGACGCAAAATACCAGGTCATAACCTGCAGACGGCATTTTCAGGAAAAGTTTATTACATGAACTATGTCAAATGATTCTAATTTTTCACATCTTTAAAACAATCTACTACATTCAAAAGCAAAACAAGTTTGTGGCCATTGGATAAACTGATAATGTCATTTGTTAGGACCAGAATAGATTTGACCACACCAAGTTAATGAGGCCATTTCAATCCCCTTCTTTATCCAGATCTACAACAAGCATGTATTGTATTTCTTTTCTTTCTGTACCTTGTGGAACTGAGGATGGAAACCAGAGACACTTACATACTAGACAACAGGGCTCCCACTGAGCTATGCCCCCACCAACTGTGCTTATTTTCTTAATCCCAGAATTTCACGATATAATAAATACTAGATACACTAAAACAGCCATAACGAGTACCAATTCTTTAGCTGCATACAATATTGGGAGGGGGTGTCACCAGAGACTAAACTTGGGACCTTACGCTTGCAAGGCAGGTGGTGGAAACACTGAGCTAAATCCCCAGCCCCACACATGCTATTTGGGTGTAATTTTTCTTGTTTTTTGTTGTTGTTTTTTTTTTTTTTTGCAGTACTGGGGATGGACTCAGGTCCTTGAGCTTGCGAGTAGGTGTGACGCCACTGAGCTAAATCTCCCGCTGTATACAGTATTTTTAAAGATAAAGTCTTTAATTTTCACTTTCTCGGGTCAGGGGTTTAGCTCAGTGGTTCTGCTTCCTGCCACACAAGCACAACGTCCTGAGCTGAACCCGATACCAAAAATCAAAAACAAACAAACAAACACAAATTTTCACCTCAAACACCAGGAAGCTTCATGGCGGGAAACCTAAGATAAAGTTATAACTAGAGGGTGGGGGATTTAGCTAAGTTCCACCACCTTCCTCACATGATCCGCGTTTGATCCCCAGTACCACCCACAAAAAAAGTTATAACTAGACTATTCATTGCACATTTTCTAGTGATTTTCCAAAATGACTTATGCTTTTGTTCTTATACTGTAATGATGGCCAATCTTACAGAAAAGGGAAAACAGCAACATGGGGAAAAAAATTAACCAAATGTAATCCAATTTGATTCTAATTTGCTTTGATTTTGTGTTACTTTATATGATTAGCTGCTTCAATGCCTTCAAATACAAGATGATGCATATCCACGGCCTTCACCACAAAGGTGATGTGTAGGTTAACACGCCAATGCCTATAATACAACCTGAGATCAAGCACAAGGACACGCTCTGTATACAAAACACTTTCTTAAGTTATGTCACGTAAAGGTGCAAGATCCTAAGGATGAATGTAACTGTATTCTATACCTAAAATGTACCAATAAACTTTGTAGGGGGTGGGGAAAAAAAACAAAAACACTTTCTCAACAAATCTGCATGATTTTCAAAGAAAAAGGGTATAAAATGCTTTAAGTAAGATAAAACTGAATGTCTAAGTATTAATGAAATATATTACAGCCCTGACTGGTTCTATCTATATTTCGGAGTAGATGTGACAAACATTTATCAAATGAGATTATACAGATTATAAATATAAAGTACAGAGTGCTTTATATGCAAAATAGGGGGCAGGAGGCAGGACCATTTACTTGTCATGTTTCAATCTCAACAGTACTTTGTTCTGGCTATCACCCTTTTACAGAGGAAATCAAAGCCTCAGTTGGTAATCAATTTGCCCAAGTTCACACAACTTCTAAGTGGGAGGGCCAAGAATACAGGTTTAACTCAAAATACTGTATTCTATGCACTCTTCCTTGATTTTGCTAGCACGTGCATCTTTGATTTTTCTCCCCTACTCAATGGGGCCTAACAAGAAACTCCATTTAATAGGTCAAACTGCTTCCTTTGCTCTTCTTTTCTACTTATTGCAAAGTATTTATCACTAACATACAGTAATTTTATTTGTGTGTATATGTGCTAGGTGGTACAATCTAGGCAAGTGGAAGGGAACTTATGAGCACAGTGGGCTGTTTGTTATCACTGAAAGTTCTAAAAGGTTTGCGTTTATTCACTGTTCTAGGAAGTCCGATTCTGCTTGTTTTGCTCACAGATGTAACAAGAACAAAACCCCAACTACAGTGTCTGGCACATACAAGGTAGCTATTGACTCATTTTTGCTTCCCACTTTTAATCTTTAGATGTACGCAAGAATTTAATCTTCTCTTTTAATGCCTGAAAAAACAAAACAGACCTATATCTGAGCCTTTAAATAACTATATTCTAAAATTCTTTTGTTAAAAAAGGGGGCCTGAAATTATGAGTATGATTTTAAAAATTCTAGCCAGCTAAAAATCATAAAGATAAGCAAAACAAACCATGAAATGCAGAAGATGCAGATGATGATGAATGGTCAGTATTTAAGAGTATCTGATATATGCTATGATTATTTAGAGGTTAAATGTCAGCCATAGATGAAACGTTACGACTCAAGAGTATAGGCTATCAGTTGTATGTTGTATTTATAAAATGTATTGGGCCAGAAATCTTTGATTTTGGAGTTTTTTGGAATATCTCCATGGTTTTATCAGTTTGAGCACTGTTAATTAAACAATCAAAAATCCTTAAATGCCCCAAACCAAAAGCCTTTTGAGGGTCACATTGGTACTCAAAGAGTTTTAGATAATGAATTTCAGGTTTTCGGATTAGGGATGCTCAATTTGTATTCTAAAACAATGGTTCTCAAACCTTATGGGCTCTAAAAAACCTATTACATTTTTTTAAAAGCGCTGGGGTGATGAAGGTGCCAAATTTTAATTTTACGACAAAGGGATATTAAGAACTAAATACAGTTATTACCTCTATGATTTAACAGAGTATATTAACTAAAAAAAGGCAATTTCAGTAAAAAAAAATAATTATTTTTATGGAGTAAATTTAATTCACAAGAATCCTGTACAAAGATAGTTCTGCATGAACTTTAAGATATAAATATGAAAAACTAAAACTGCTAAGGCTTTATTTTAAATGAAAAAGCAAAAACTGCAAAATTAGGTCTCTGTAAGGTGGAAAAACATCCTCTTATCCACAACTGGCATAATCACTTTGAAGAGAATACCGTACTAGCAGTTATCTAATGAAGTGGAAGAAACTCATACCCTGAAGTCTAGAAAGTTACTATCAAATTTATATTCCAGGATAATCACAACATTTTGGTCATTATAATGCGAATACTACTAGATTAGAAGTCAGGGATGCCAGGCACGCTTCCTGCACAAAGATAATGCTGCTCTGTGTCCTATGGTTCTTGGCTACTCTGCTGGACAAAAGGGGAATAGGGAGAGGAAAAAATGGAATCAACCCTAGCATCAAGTACTTCTAAACAAGGCTTAAAACAAACATATTTGTATTAAAGGAAATGACTATTTTAAAGGACTGAACCAATACAGAAAAGAGAACATTACACATTTTTGTTCAACTGGGAATAGGTTAGAAATTAATTTCTTTTAGAGCCTCATTTTTCACCAACAATATCGCTTGTGGTATATGAATGGCCATTTCAATGTAACTATAATGTAGATATATTGACAATGATACTACCTACTGGTGCAAAGTACCTACTACTTCTAGCAGTGCTTCTTGGACTTTACTGTGCACACACACTGCCTGGAAATATTAACCCAAATGGCCTGAGAATCCACCTCTTCAACAAACTCTCCATACCACCCTAGTGCCAGACTTGGTAGCAAGCCTTGAGGGTAGTTGAGGTCAAGCAATAAAATACATATTACTTTATTTTCTTTATTTAAATTGAATTTATTGGTACATTCTAGGTATACAGCACAGTTACATTCATTACTGGGATCTTGTACCTCTACATGACAGGTCTTGGTTCTCATTTTTTCCCCTTGTTCCCACCCTCCCTTCACCTCCTGCTCCCCTCCCCACCTACAAACACTTTAATTTCATTTTTTACATTTTCTCACGTTTTTCCTTTTCCCTTATTCCCCTTCCCCTACCCTTCTCACTGTCCCTACACCTTTAGCCCTTTTCTTCCTATCATATTACTTTAATGACAAATTACTGCTTAAATTTTAATGAGAGTATTTCTAAAAAGTAAATGTTTATTATCAGGATTCTCATTTTGTGATAGCATAGGAGAAATTAATTTTCTCCAACTCACAAGGTTGGCTTTGAGAAATAAATATGGCATTGTATGTAAGCAATTAACAGGATAAATAGGTGGGAATATATAGTTGAGAATTAAAAGAAAAACCTCGGATTAGAAAAAAGTCTACAGGGCAGGGGATTTAGCTCAGTGGTGCTGCAGCCTGCCTTGCTAGCGCAAGGTCCCGAGTTCGATCCCCGGTACAAAAACAGAAAAGTCTACAAATAAACCAACCAGTAAATAAACTTTTAGAATGCCAATTCTAACTTGGGAGAAACTGAGTTCATCAACTAGTACTCTTAAATTAATATTGCAGAACCAGAGTAACTATTGGTTGTATGATTCTCAGTGCCTTTTCTACAAAGTGAGCAGGTGGTATATTTTATTAGTGCCATATTACAGATGGAAAAACTAGAAACGGACTCAGGTGTGGAGTTGGAGACCAATTTTGTGACAGAATTTGGAACGGACATCAACTGCCTAATTCAACAATGTTCACAAAGCTACTAAAACCATTATTTGGCTATTACTCTCTACAGCAATTGTGTTCCACAAAATAAAAAACAAAATCTTTGTCTGCTATTTCATATACATTTCAAAATTAGCAAAGATGACTCAAGAAAACAAGCCACACACTGTATCAGCTTTAGCACTGTACACCAAGAGACAAAATTAAAACTGCCTAGCCTGGTGAAAATATAACCTATCCTTGCCAATTAACCTTATAGAGAAAATAGAGATCAAAATATGGGTAAGGGTGCTATTCACTTTCTCCTGGATCTCAAATAACATAGCAAGTGAAAAACGAGAGATTTTGTATCTTTTACAGGTTGTAACGTGATTACCACCTTCACTTCTTCAAGTAATGCCACTACGTCTTCTCCCAAAATAAAATTTATCAACAAGCACGGAGTTGGGCGGTCACTATTAGTACACTGGTAGTCATGCTAATTACCAAAATACTGTATTGGCTATGATGAGGTACGTTACCCAACTGAGTTCCTGCAATAAACATGAGTCCATTAATTGTAAATCTCACTGTGTAAACAAGTAGTATCATAATATATATCTTTCTACTCAAACTCATTAGGTAGTCTATGCCGACATAAAATTCTTGTTCAAAGTTCTCTTTATTTACTGGAGCCTTACCAAAAAGCCAATGGACTATCTTATGGATCAAGCATTACATCTTCTTTTTTTTGAAGTATTATATATAATTGCCTTTCATAAACTCCCACCCAAAATTTAAAGTTTATCCTCTCTGTATTCCGTTATTCATCCCTTGCTTACCAAATTTACTTCACACTGACCTAAAGTACAATTAAAAAAATATTCCTTTCTGCCATTGGCAGAAATCTGTCCATGCATCAAAGCTCTTAACATTCAAAAAATAAAAAAAACCAAGAAGCTGAGGTTAAACTCTCCTTCACCAACGTTCTCCACACAACACAATCTAATTTGATACAACTTTGTTTCCAGTAAAATACAATTTAAAGAAACTCTCTTAATTTTCCAGTTAAAATCGATTCCCGATAAGCTTGCCCTAGAATCCTTCAGATGATTCAAGTTCAACCATCAAGAGCCAACCCTACAAGCGCCCGACTAGAAGACAAAATCCGTGCAGATTTCATCTAAAATCCGGGCGGGTAGGGATCTACACTCAGAAGAAAGCTTTCAGGCATCCGCGGAGCTCAGAGGGCCATGGAGGGGGATGTGACCGGGAGCCCATCTTTCGGGCCGGTGGGAGAAGCCAGGCTGCAGCGGAATGCGCCCGGGTCGGCGAGGACCGAGCGCCCCCTCCGTGTCTCCCGCCTCAGCCCGCGAGAAGCCCCCCGCGAACCCTTCCCCA